GAGCACGTCCAAGATTCCGCATAAAAAAACAAAAACAAGATGCCTGCCAGTCGACCATCTTTGATCCAATTGCGAAATAAATCGTTATGGACATGTATCCTAACATGTTTAATCTATGTACCAAGTTTGAATGACAACTGACAAAGCATGTCTAAAATACAACATTTTCAAAAAAAAAGATGGCTGCCAGTCGGCCATTTTGAATCGAATCGCTAAACCACTGCATGTGCATATGTCCCACATGAGGTACTAGGCACATGCAAAGAACGAACGGAATCGGTCCACAGGATTCTGAAATATGACTCTGGACAGACTGACGCACGAACGGACGGACACACGGACAGACTCACAGACGGTCGGGGACATGTATGAATGAAAACTGATAACATTTTCAAAAAACAAGATGGCTGCCAGTCGGCCAAAAAACATCGTGTTCTTACACATGTAATCCTACATACTATAAAAGGTTTAATTGTAACTACTAGAAATTTTAATGATTTTAATTACATTCATGAAGACAAAAAGTCACTGACACATCCTGTCATAGAATGAAATTTTCACTGCTAACAAAGCAGTTTACAGTCTATCTCACCTGATCAGAAGATACAAAGTCCTGCCCTTCGGCTTTTAAACTATTGTACATTGATGGAATCAAACTGTAATAGAAAGACAAAGAGATAAGAATAAAGAAACAAGCAGCCTGCTAGCTATAGCTGAGTTGAAGATTCTTTGGTTTCTTAGCCTTCAAATACATAGGGGTGGGCGTTTGGGTAGGGGTGTTGGGTGGCAGTATCAACATTGCTACACTTCTGGCCATCAGAAGTATATACATACCAGCATCAGTTTTGTATAGTACATTTTGATTCTGTATTGTAGACATCCATGTTAACTTTAAAAGTTTACGAAGCCTTCATAAAATATGGAAAAAAATTGTTATCTTTACTTAAACAAAATATGATTTATAACATCTTAGTACCTTTACATACTTTTGTAATATCTCTCTGGTGAGCAAAATACAAGTATGTCTATTCAACTTGTGAAAATCATGTTATTATTGACAACCAGTTACAGATAACAAAATTGACCCCATGTCTGTCACAAAGTTGGTATTCATTAATGCAGCAACCAGGAAACTCAAAAATAAAAGAAACTTCAAATACTTCATTTCCAGTAAAACACTTACTTTAATTGTGGATCATTCTTGAATTCTTCAGACCATTGTTTAATCAGATTTTTCAACTTTTCAGCTACCTTGGGATGACCCTATGAATAGTAGACATGTACAACAAAAGAAATAAATACAAGCATGTCACAGTTTCAGTTCTATCAGAGGTCAACTCCAACAGCTGGTGAGTACACCACAGACTCAAATCATTCAAAGATGTTGATAGGGGGTTGACCTGTTACCATGGTTACATACCATTATGTTTTTTTCACATACCCTTATGTCTAAGTTAGATACTAATAATGTCAAACCAGACATGCTAGTCATGCACATTAACATATATAATTTCATTATTACATGTACGTACCTTAGATATTATATTCCTGGCTTCTGTACAGAAATCTCTGGAACAGACTTCCAAATGAAATATTTTACCAGAGTTACTCACACAAGCACCAAGTAGCTATAGACGAACAAAACAATAGATCAAATTGTGATGTTTTAAGCAGGTAATTCAGAAAAATAAGATTTAAATAAATTTAATCATTTTAAATTAATTTAAATTAGGAATGAGAATACGAGAAATGTGCAATACGAATGCAATAAATTTGTGAAATAGGTGACAAGTTGATGACATCTGAGCTAATAAAGGCGACTATGTACTTACTGTGAGAGCCTGCATACCCACATGGGGTATTGGATGTTTAATTCTCTTCATTATAGAACGCAGGCAGTCTTTAGGTCTGTGAATTGAAGAAATGCGTGTTTAACACACCTATCATAATAGAAATCATGATGTAGAAGGTTGATTGAGAAATATAATAAATTGCTTAGAAACATTATTTTATTGGCAAATCACTGCAGAGAATAGCAATCTGAGTGTGATATCAAATGAATGTTTTAATGAACTCTAAAGCACTTTTTAAAATCACAAAACAGTGCATATTCTGATGACAAGAACAGTTTGAATTACCCTGGCTTAAATTATTCAATATTTTTCACAAATACAATGCAAGGTAGTAATTTCATTGAAATCTGATATATTGTACAGAGTGTATTTTTTTATTGTATTTTATTATTATATTATTATTATTATATTTTATTTAATTTGTACTATATTTTTTATTATTTTGTATTTTGTTGTGCTTTTAATACATACACCTTATTTTATTAATTTTAACTATTATCACATCCATATGTATGTCAAACCCTTGTGTGCTTTTGCATTTACCAAAACTACCAAAAAAATAAGATAAAAATTAAAATTAAATAAATTTAAAAAAATAAATATATAGAGATATTTAACAAAAAAATAAAAAAAAGAGGAAATCAAGCATGGGATTTTCAGGGTCACATTGTTAGTAGAAGGTCACAGGTTAAAGCTAACTAGCTCATAAGTTATAGTACAATTTAGTATACTGTTTATAAACAGTAAATAGATAATAAAAAGTGACTCACCCATTGGTAACCCTTCCTACTCTGTCACAGATATCCATGATAAGACCCCAGTCTTCTGTGGTGTTCAACTCACTGGTAACTTTCTCTGCAATGACAACAAGTAACATAAACATGTGTATCATTCGAATGATTTTGATAAACATACAGAAATTGATCCAACAACTATGTTGAAGTTGTGAAAAAAATTAAAAGCAAAACAACTATGTGTATACAAATACAGGTTTCTGTTGCCTGAAACGTGTATTCTAATCTATCTATCCTGACAATTATCAGACATATTTCTTTTCAACACTCAAAATTTATCTAATAAAATTAATTAGAATGGTTATATTGAAAACCAGTTAAAAGAATATGAAGTTTACCGAAATTATTGACATACATTACGTGATTATACGAATAGGCTGAAGTTTATAAAACATGGTTGCAAATTATTTAACCATAGACAGTAATTAGTAGAATACTGTCTATGGTTTAACTTTTTTTTTATGCTTGTGTGAACACAAAAACAACAGTCTGTGTGATTGCCATTTGCTGGTATACCGCTGTTGTTTTATAAATTATTTATTTATTTATCACCATTTATTCAATTGTTTGAAAAACAATGTACAGTTTGATTAATTAATTAATTAAAATAGCAAACATCGAGATATTTACACACAGTCGCAGTATTATTATCAATGACATACGCATTTTGTACAGCCATCATCTGACTGTGACTCAGACAATGGAGGTAGCTCAGACGAATACGAGCATTTGTATCTCCCAGTATAATTTAATAATATCAAAGTTCTCAATATCTGGATGATCAGGGACGATTACAAACACTGTGTGGGTTATAATCAAATTAGACCGTTCCAGTGTACTTACCGACATCTGCATCGAACGGGGAAGAGCTACTGAACAGCGGCATTTTGACAAGATTCGAGTTTCCTTTTCTTTCAGACAAAATACATTTACTCTACAGGATTGCCCTTTCTTGTTTTGATGAGCTGCGCATGCGTAAATTAAGATGACGTCATATTGTTTTGTCGTTCGTGATTTATAACAAAATAATATGAATTGAAATTGAATTTACGAAAAAAATTATAAATATTCATAGAGACAATCGTTGTGATTTCCTGTAAAAATGAAACTTTCGTTTTCAGGGAGGAGGTCAAATGAGGAAAGTGTTCCCAAACAAACGCAAGATTATAACGCTTGTTTGTTTGCAACTTCTTTACTCTAAAGCGTGGTTTGTTGTCTTTCATTCGAAATATTAGAAATTGGTCTAGAGCTAATCGAAATGCCTATCATGGAACCGAAAAGGAAAGCAGATGACGTGGCTCTGGTCCCGGTGAAAAAGTCAAGAACTGATATAGTTGCTGTACCAGGATCAAGGCAACAGTCTCTTGTCGAAGCGGTGAGTCAATCTGTGAGCACAGTTCTCAACAACTAAAGGACTGTGATTCGAGAAGCAGAGTGTCAAAGTACTTTACATTTGTGATTAAACTATTTACTAAACTGCTAACCCATAGTGAGAAATTACACACTATACGATCTGACACAGTAACAAGTAGTGATAGAATGCGAAACAGAAATGAGTTAAACTGAAAGCAAAATAATATAGTGCACAATGTACTAATAATACTACTAAAGTGCTCCCTATATTTTGCTGCAACATTTTGTATATTGTATATTCTATAACCTCAATAGATCAGTGTGGAAATTGCACCAAAAATAACCACCTGCATATTTTGTTGACTTTAATTTTTTGTCTGTAGGGGCCGCCAAGAACGTCAAGTTTGTTGGCACCGATAATGCTGTTAACAGGACATGAAGGGGAAATATTCTCATGTAAATTCTCACCAGATGGTAACACATTAGCATCAGCTGGCTATGATAGACTTATACGTAAGTACTACTAGTATGTATAGTATGTACATGAGGAGAATTATTCAGGTTGTAGGAAATAGGGGGGGGGGGTTTGACATGTTCAAGGATTCTGAACAATTATCTCTGAGTATGTTTTCAGTAAATAAGCTATGGCTGGATTAAATAATTAATTTAGTAAAACTTGTTATGGAAAACAAGCAAATCAATCAACATGAATTGATAACAATTATTCTAAACGTAATTCCTCCATAATTGTCCAGTACTGGGCCATAATGATTATTCTTTATAATGGCTTGGTACTGATTTTCAGTACTGGACCATCGTGATTACCCTCCACAAAGGGTCAATACTGGAGAAGGATTTTATAGGCTTTTAGAATTTACTGTAAAATACTTTATTTTCACTGAAGGGATGATTCAGTGAAAATTTAATCCAGTGAATATACCTTTTTACCTATATTTTACATTCAACTCGTCAAATATCAGTGAATTCAATACAAAACACCCAGAAAGTGACTTCAGCGAAAATTAATTCTAGTTAAAATATATTACCGGTAATTCTAATTGCTCATTACAAGTGCTTGCATTCAAGATTTAGCAAACAGGGGTTTCATTCATAGCCGACTACAAGCCCAAATTGGCCATCTACTTTCTGTCCCGACTGCCAACGCCGGTCTCGCTGCTGCGCTTCGCACTGCCGAGAGCCTTTTTATTTTATTTTTTGGCTTGTTGTTACACGATGATGGCCTGCTATTAAATGCATTTGTGAAACCCCTGAGCAAATAAAATACATCGATTACTTACCTTTACTTGTCATTATTTTTCAGATCTTTGGAATGTCTATGGTGAATGTGAAAATTTTGCTCTTTTTAAAGGCCACACAGGAGCTGTTATGGAATTGAATTTTTCAACAGATGGAAGGTACACTTTCATATTATCCAAATCATTTCTGTGTCTTTTGATTTTTTGACAGTATGAGATGTGTAGATCCACCACTCAAAAATTAAATTTACTTACAATATTTTATAGAGTACTGTGAAATACTTTTTGGGTGTTTTGTATGGAATTTATTTTCTGATTTTTGATGAGTTGAATGTAAAAATAAAGGAAAAAAAGTATATTCACTAGATTTTATTTTCACTGAATCATTCCTGCAGCGAAAATAGCGAAAATTAATTCCAATAAAAAATAAAGTATTTTACAGTACATGTAAAAAATATTATTTTTTTTATCTGAAAAAAAAATGAGCATTTTTACAAAGTACAGTAATGTTTGCACCAAACATTAGAGAATACAGATACTGGCAACTGTAACAAACATCATTGATGTTCAGTGCGATGTCTTGGTGCATCATGTTCTACTAAGTTAGCCACAGAATATGTGCAACATGTCCACTACTGCCATGTCACGCTTTTTCCAGTTTGTGTAACCCGTTTTTGAAAACACAATGTATTAAATATGTTCACATTTAGGTGCGACTGTCTTGTATACAGTGGCATAGACTTGTTTTTGTTTGAAAACAATGAATAAAGATATTGTTTACTTTTATTGAGTCACAAAGAAAACATCCTGTCAACTCCAAGTCGTTTCCTGTTTTCATTCAAACCCTACTAGGTTGTATTCAAATGCTGATATATTGCAGTCATGTTTTTGTTTGGAAATTTGCCCATCAAAAATTGTAATTATTATTTTCTTGTATGTTGTCATGTAAATTTTGTTAACTTTAATCTTAGTTAAGTCTTGAAACATTTGAATAATCCAAATTGCATTTGAATTCAAATATACCATTATCAAAGAAATTGCTGCAGCTCCCCTGTCCCTCTGTTTTCCAGCATCTTTGGTTACACTAAAACTTTTTGTTTGATTCATGCATGTCAGAACTGATTCACTGTCTCTCCTTGTACCCCTCAGTACACTATTCACAGCATCGACAGACAAAACCATTGCATTGTGGGATATGCAAACTGGAGGAAGAATAAAGAAGTTAAGGGGTCACACTTCATTTGTCAATTCCTGCCATTCAACAAGAAGAGGTGTTCAGTTGGTTGTCAGTGGCAGTGATGATGGCACAATCAAGGTGAGACTGGAACTCGTCATCCACTACTTATTTGCTCAAACATACAGTGTGTAGTCACCTACCTGCTCAGCTATTTTGATTATTGCCTCTTAGACTTTTGCGATTTCTATTAATTTATGTACCCAAATCATTTTAAAAAAATAATTATTAAATCTAATTTTTGGTGTTCAAAAATGGGATTCAAATTTGTATCTTTTAAATTCGTGTGCTAACTTTTTATGTAAAACATAGCTCAGGACTCATTATTTCTCAAGTGAATTTAAAAAAAAATGTTATAAAATGTGACATCCTTTGATGTTATGCGTTACCTCACATTTCCAGTGATCGTTGATTACAATGGACGATTACCAGAGTACCAAGGACGATTTTAACAAAACTTTAACTTTAATCTTTATTTACTCACAACATAAACATGTGGCAGAAAAAATGCTTTAAAGCAATGCATATAGATAGTAACATTTCAGTGTGGATAAAATTGGAAAGCATCACTCTTATCTTGAATGACATGTTGTTGAAATGATGAAATTTACAACGCTGCTATGGATGCCATGAGTGACGTGATGTGTAAATTCATTCCATCGCCCTTGACCGATTTCATTCAAACTTGGCATTGACATCAGTCATGGGGGTTACTAATGAGCTTGAAGGTTGAAATTTCAACGCTGCTATATATGGATGCCATGAGTGACTTGATGCATAAATTGAAGCCTTTGATTAAAGAACTGATATCCATTTTGACTTGAGATCCCTACAAAATCAGTTCGGTAAGAGAACACAATGAAGTGAAGCCACAATGACATAACTGATTGTTAATGGTCATCATCATTGATGTTACCTATCATCTTTTAAATTTAAACTTTTTCAAAACCAAGATTGCTTTTTATATTATAATAGCAGATACTTTAAATTGAGTGGTTCTCATGGACAGTTGTGAACCATTTAGCTGTCAATTCAGCCAAAACATTGTATTCTTACTTATTTGTTTTCAGCTTTGGGACACCAGAAAGAAAGGAGCAATAGAAACATTCCAGAACACATACCAAGTAACAGCTGTTTCATTTAATGATACCAGTAATCAAGTTATATCAGGTGGTATTGATAATGATCTCAAGGTCAGTACATCTTGCTGTAATAAAGAAAGGTATTATAATAGTAGAAAAAGTTCTGTCATCATTTCAAATTTGGATATATATATATATACTCATCAGTTTAAAATATCACACTAATTTAATTTTAATGTGACTAGTATACATTATTTTGAGATAATGATTTGAAAGTGTGGCTTAAATGTAAGCACACTGTGTACATGTACAATTTGCATTAAGGTTTAATCAATTGTGTTCACATTTCGTGAAGAGAGGTGGTCGTCACGTTGCACATGTGCGACAGTTGTGTTGATAAACATTTTCCCACAATTCAATGCACTTTTCTAATGAAATCACAAGTACGAGTTTTGCCCTAGATGCAACTTGTACTGATTACTCATTCGAGACCTTCCAATCACCAAAAAAAAAAATACCTAATTAAAACTTAGTAACCTCTCAGTTCATCTTTGTTCATATGAGACCTACGCCTTTTAAACTGAAGTAAAATTAATACCATCCCCAAGAAATGTTCAATTTGAGCTTCATGTACATCATAACAATGCAATTATACATTGTGTTTGAATGAAAAAAAACCTGTCCCTATAAACAATCTACATGTAACTATTTGTTGGTTTTGTGTTTTGTCATCAGGTTTGGGATTTAAGAAAAAACGATATAGTTTACAAGATGCGTGGACATTCTGACACAATAACAGGCATGGAGTTGAGTCCTGATGGTTCGTACATTGTAACAAATGCCATGGACAATACAGGTAAGCTTTAACTGTGATGTTTCACAAGAAATAACATACATGTACATGTATGAAGGTGTATAAATCATTTGTAGGAATCTGGTGCTATTATGACAATATGACTGTTGTAGTGCTTGCTTAAGTTTGTCTCCAAGCAACTATTAATACGTTGGAATTTCACGATACCCTATCATAGTGCAATAGATATGCGACCAACAACAGAATAGAGAATTTAAAAATATTACATGTACATGTGTACAGTGATACCAAAACCGATTGTCTATTGTGCACTGATGTGAGAGTAATGCAGAAAGTATATAGACAACTATAAGTTCATGTAGCCGATACTGTCATGGGCAAATGTTCTATTCAGGTCATATGTTTTGAAATTATTCTGGGGCTTGAAATAAACAAATCAACCTGAGTTATCTAGGAAGCTATGCTATTAAAATCTCAGCTAAACTGTATGAATTGGGAGTCGAGAGTGATAATTAGCTGTACTGAGTCTTGACTTGGGTGAGTGATCAGAGTGATTGCTCTCCTTAGAAAGTAAAGGTCTATCCATTGTGTAATAATCATGCAGTGATTAAATTACTCTGACAATGCTATCATCCATGTAACCAATACAGTCATTGGCAAAGCTCCTTACTAGAACTATCTTCTGTTTCCAGAAATAAGATTTATATTGTAAAAGGCAATGCTACTGCTGAACCCCAATTACATTTTCACAGCTGATTTACCCAGACACACAAAATTGTATGTCTCTCAGTATTGCTTATTTGTTTTTTCTGTTATTCTGTGTACCAGTGAGAATTTGGGATGTCAGACCGTTTGCACCACAAGAAAGATGTGTGAAACTGTTCCAGGGTGCTCAACACAATTTTGAGAAGGTTTGTGAAATTTATTGTAAAGTCGTTTTGTGAGGAAATGGGGGTAATTTGTTTTTCCCTTTTTGAGTATCTGCTAGACTATATGCCACTGATTTAACACAATTCTCTCTATTCTTGTTTGTATATCCCACCAATTATGTGCATACTTTGTGATATTCTCAAGATAGTCCTTTTATTATACATCTCAGCCTAGTAAAACAATTTGATGGGTATTAAGGTCCCATGTTCAATGTATGTACCAGTACTGGTGTTTTTAAATATGTCCGTCTGTACACGAGACTCGCTTCTGAAATGGCAGAAATGCTTATGAGCACTGTGACTAGTGATAAGTGTGTAACCCAAGTACAATCGGTGGGTGACTAGTAATAAGTGTGCAACCCAAGTACAATCAGTGGGTGACTAGTGATAAGTGTGCAACCCAAGTACAATCAGCGGGTGACTAGTGATAAGTGTGCAATCCAAGTACAATCAGTGGGTGACTAGTGATAAGTGTGCAACCCAAGTACAATCAGTGGGTGACTAGTGATAAGTAAGCGACCTAAATTGCAATCAGCGAGTGACTAGTGATAAGCGTGCAACCCAAGTACAATCAGTGGGTAACTAGTGATAAGTGTGCAACCCAAGTACAATCAGTGGGTGATAAGTGTGCAACCCAAGTACAATCAGTAGGTGACTAGTGATAAGTGTGCAACCCAAGTACAATCAGTAGGTGACTAGTGATAAGTGTGCAACCCAAGTACAATCAGTGGGTGACTAGTGATAAGTAAGCAACCTAAATTGCAATCAGTGGGTGACTAGTGATAAGTGTGCAACCCAAGTACAATCAGTGGGTGATAAGTGTTAAACCCAAATGAAATCAGTAGGTGACTTGTAATAAGCGTGCAACCCAAGTACAATCAGTGGGTGATAAGTGTGCAACCCAAATGCAATCAGTGGGTGAGTGGTAACTAGTGATAAGTGTGCAACCCAAGTACAATCAGCGGGTGACTAGTGATAAGTGTGCAACCCAAGTACAATTAGTGGGGGACTAGTGATAAGTAAGCAACCCAAATTGCAATCAGTGGGTGACTAGTGATAAGTGTGCAACCCAAGTACAATCAGCGGGTGACTAGTGATAAGTAAGCAACCCAAATTGCAATCAGTGGGTGACTAGTGATAAGTGTGCAACCCAAGTACAATCAGTGGGTGATAAGTGTGCAACCCAAATGAAATCAGTAGGTGACTAGTAAATAAGTGTGCAACCCAAGTACAATCAGTGGGTGATAAGTGTGCAACCCAAATGCAATCAGTGGGTGACTAGTGATAAGTGTGCAACCCAAGTACAATCAGTGGGTGACTAGTGATAAGTAAGCAACCCAAATTGCAATCAGTGGGTGACTAGTCATAAGTGTGCAACCCAAGTACAATCAGCGGGTGACTAGTGATAAGTGTGCAACCCAAGTACAATCAGTGGGTGACTAGTGATAAGTAAGCAACCCAAATTGCAATCAGTGGGTGACTGGTGATAAGTAAGCAACCCAAGTACAATCAGCGGGTGACTAGTGATAAGTGTGCAACCCAAGTACAATCAGCGGGTGACTAGTGATAAGTAAGCAACCCAAATTGCAATCAGTGGGTGACTAGTGATAAGTGTGCAACCCAAGTACAATCAGTGGGTGACTAGTGATAAGTAAGCAACCCAAATTGCAATCAGTGGGTGACTAGTGATAAGTAAGCAACCCAAATTGCAATCAGTGGGTGACTAGTGATAAGTGTGCAACCCAAGTACAATCAGCGGGTGACTAGTGATAAGTGTGCAACCCAAATGCAATCAGTGGGTGACTAGTGATGAGTAAGCAACCCAAATTGCAATCAGTGGGTGACTAGTGATAAGTAAGGAACCCAAATTGCAATCAGTGGGTGACTAGTGATAAGTGTGCAACCCAAGTACAATCAGTGCGTGACTAGTGATAAGTAAGGAACCCAAATGCAATCAGTGGTTGACTAGTGATAAGTGTGCAACTCACATGTGACAATGACTGTGTCCCTTTCTCTTGATTTCAGAATTTATTACGATGTAGCTGGTCTTCAGATGGAAGTAAGATAGCATCAGGTTCAGCTGATAGATTTGTATATGTATGGGATACCACAACAAGACGAATACTTTATAAACTTCCAGGACATAATGGTTCAGTTAATGAGGTTGATTTCCATCCACAAGAACCTGTAGGTATGTAGCATGCCATCATTTTTATTATTCATAATATTATTGTAAGTTCAAAACCCTCAGCCAGATAGCCAGATAGATATTTTCGACTTCTTGTTAAAAACCGCAAGTCCAATTGCTTTGATACTACATATATAGGTACTACATGTGGACCTCACTCAGATTTTTTCATTTTGTAATGATATCTTAAATTCTCTAATTTTGATGAATATTTTTGTCATTTTTGACAACTTTCTTTTCTATTTTTTAGTTGCTTCATGCGCCAGTGATAAAAAGATCTATCTTGGAGAAATTCAACCATGACCTAATTCAATGCTTCACTGCCATCACTGTACAGTAAAGTTAACATTTTTATTTTTTAATATTCATCAAGTACTGGTATTTTCCAGCCCGCTGCGGTTGATCTGTGAACTGAACAAGAAATGTAACTCTTATTTGATACATTAGTCTGTCACCTCAAGTTTTATGTCACATTTGCAATAAAGTACTAGTATATCACAAACACTAAAATGAAACTTCCATATTAATGTACCGGTACGTTTTTTTTGCAACTACCGGTACTTTGGGTTATGGTCCGGTACCTCACTGAGGCCAATCAACAACAAAAACTATTCATTTAACGTTTCACACTGGAATGACTTCTCAAGAATGCTAATCCCTGAATGTCATAGTATTGTTTACTCATAAACAGTAAAACTATCGGCACACGGCAAGCTACGACTAATTAGTCCCCGTTCGGACGTAGTCCGAAAACGGGGACTTATGTTTTGCCCTGTGTGCGTGCATGCGTCCGTGATCACCTGTATCTCGAACATGCATGGACCGATTAAGTTCAAACTTCACTCATATATCACACATTATATGGGACATATGCACATGCATTTTTTTCATGCTCCGATTAACGATAGCCGAATAGCGACCATTTTAAGGCCGAAAATGCATCAAAATAACACATTTTCACCATTCCGGACCCGGATCTCAGTTATGCATGGACGGATTTCAGTCAAATTTGGTACATACATTAAACATAATAGGACCTTGATGCACGTTATTTTTTTTTTCGGATCAAGTTCGAAATGGCCGACTGGCGGCCATTTTGTTTTAAAGAATTCAGTTCTGGATCCGTATCCGAGACATGTCTGGATTGATCAAGTTCAAACTTCACACACATGGTACATCATGTCACAAATACATATGTGCATTTGTTTCATGATCCGCTTAACAATAGCTGAATGATGGCCATTTTAAGGCCGAAAATGCATCAAAATCACGTATTTTCACAATTCCGGAACCTGATCTCAGTCATGCATGGATGGATTTTGTTCAGATTTAGAACAATGTGTTGTACATATGCAGGTGCATTTCGGTCATGATCTGCTTTGAATGTATATGTCACTCAAATATGAATGGAACGGGGACGTGTCATTGACAATGACTTGTTGAGATACTAAAATTGCACAAGATTATTTATGGGTCGTGGGTCGTGAAATACTGGAAGGTGTTAATGTGTGTGAATAGATGGAAATATTTATCAAGATCTTGTGAGCCACCAAGATTTGGTTTTCCCCCTTAATACTACCTGTGTTACATTCTCTAATATCCACACATCCATTGTTCCCTTGGAAACGATGGTTTATGAACAGTGAGCACAATGGTGATAGAGAAAGGAACATTAATGGGGGGGGGGTCAAAAGCAAGTCATCTGACAAGTCACCTGATCTCAATGAGACCTCAGCAGCTACTTACAAAGTCTATTACAGGAAATATTTGAAGATTGGTTCCAAATTACAGCAAGCCAAATCTATGTGAGTCTATGTATGTTGAAATTCAAACTTGTTAAAATTAAATCTGAACATTCATATGACAAGCCAAAATGATGGCCAACTGGAAATTGAAAATTAGTTGTTTAGTAGGTACCGTGTTTCACATACATGTAGTAGTTCTACAATCGCAATACAACTTTTGAAAAGTTTTCAGAGTACAACTTTTTAGAGCATGCCAAGAATGCATTCAGATCAACACTTGAGTTTGGGCTTGAGTTTTTTGTGTAAAGCAAAGTTTTTTTGGAAACTTTATCAGTTTCCTAGTCTGTTCTTTATTTTAAACACTATGTGACAGAAATAAACAGATATTCTTTCTAGAAAAACAATGAATGTGTGGTCTTCATTTCATGTAAGGTCATGAATCCTGTGGTTCTCGTGTTAGGGGTATTATGTGTCTCAACTTGGTCAGAAAATTGGAGATGCATTTGTAATTGGCATGCTGGATATATTGATCAAAACAAATTTGAAGAATTTGGCCAGGCATGTCCAAGAAATAGTTGATGACTTTTTGAAATTAAAGTGTGTCAGTCAAAAATGGACAGTCAGTCAGTTGAATTTCATCAATACCACTAAGGAGAATATTCACATAAACATTCACACCATTATGTCATGCCTTTGTACCAAATTTTAACAAAATCTGGGAACTGGTAGAACACTTGATTTTTTTTTTCATTTCCCATCCTATATTTTTTGATGATCAACCTCTAAACAGTCAGATTTCATAATCTCAATTTTTCTTAGATTTGCTTTCTTTTAGGAAGTGGATGTACTGAACAAAGATATTTATATATCTATTTCATGTGTAGGTAAAGATCCAGTTGTGCACAAAAGACTTTGGTTCGAAGGAAACAAAACACATTCAAAGTCTACAAATAATGGCCAATCCATGTACTCGTACAGATTTGTTTTCCAAACAAAAGCTGTGATTTCAAGTTGGTGCTTTTCTGAACAGGTGCCTGGCTGATTTACAAAAATAAACTGCAAACATTATACCAGACTGTAAATTCCACACACACTACTTGTTGGGTAACAATTATAATATTGTTACATTACATGTTGGTCAGTACCCTTACTGTAACCACTATTGACAATATTGTGCAGTCGATTTGATTCATTTAGATCATACTGGTAGTATCAGCATGGTACTATATAGATAATATCAGTAATTGTAGATATCATTTGAATGTTTGTGATAAAAATTTGCAGATATTGTTTTTCATTCAGCACAACTTACAATGTGTGTACCATCCAAAGTAGCTCTAGTAACACAACCTTTTCAACCACTAGACTTACTCGCCCACATTTTTCTGTACTTTTTCCCTATATTCCTGGAAATGAACCAATTTTTAGTCCCCATTCGAAGCAGTCCGAAAACGGGGACTTATGTTTTGACGTCTGTGCGTGCGTCTGTGCGTGCGTCTGGACCTGTATCTTAGAAATGCCTGGACCAATCACAATCAAACTTCACACATACATCATACATGATATCATACATATGCACGTCAATTTGTTTCATGATCTGATTCAAGCTGGCCGTATGGCGGCCATTTTTGTGCTAAAAATCATCAAAATCGAGCATTTCCCGGTTGTTTACAGATAGATTTTGTTCAAACCTTGTATATATGTTGGACATTATAGGACCTTGATGCACATCATTTTGTTTTTCAGATAACATTCAAAATGGCCGACTAGCGGCCATTTTGTATTAATCAATGTGGTTCTCGTGCCATAAATCCAACTTGTTTTGACTGATTATGTTCAAATTTTAAATATTCATTATACATCATGTCATAGATATATTGGTTTGACGATCCTATTCAAAATGGCCAAATGGTTGTCATTTTTGTACTAAAAATCATCAAATATCAAGCATTTCTGGCATTTATGGATGGATTTCGTTCAAACTTGGTACATACATTACATTACGGGTTCCTAATGCACGTCATTTTATTTTTCAGATCAGATTCAAAATGGCTGTCTGGCGGCCATTTTGTTTTAATGAATAGGTTTCCAGACCCATGTCTGACTTGTTTTGTCTGATTATGTTCAAATTTTTAATATTCATTATACATCATGTCACAAATATACGGATATATTGGTTTGATGATCTTTTTCAAAGTGTGCTTTTTTTGTGCTGAAAAAATCCTCGAATATCAAGCATTTCTTGCATTTATGGATGGATTTTGTTCAAACTTATAACACACGTTAGACATTACAGGTTCCTGATGCATGTCATTTTATTTTTTCAGATTGGATTCAAAATAGCTGACTGGCGGCCATTTTGTTTTAATGATTGACTTCTAGAGCCATATCTCTTAAATGCTTTGACTGATTATATTCAAATTTTATATATTCGTTATACATCATGTTATATATATATATATATATATATATATATATATACATGTATTCAAAATGGCTGATTTTGAATACTGTTCCAGAGCAATATCTCTCAATATGGACAAGTACTTGTTTGACAATCAGATACAAATGTCAATCATTTTAATGTTAAAAAAATCATATTCCTGACATGGTTATATTCCAGTTATATTACTATAAACATAACTATATACCTTAAATTTGATAACTGACGGGGACTGTGCCATGCATGGCTTGTTTTTTAAATGTGGCTATTTTTGTGCAATCTTCTGAAGGAAAATACGAACTATATGCAGGTGGTGAAAAGGTTGAGCAAGCACATGTAGTTCTAACATTAAGTGTGGTGTATAAATGAAAATCTGTTATAAACATTCATAGCATGTATCTAACCTGAAAACTATGAAAATTTTTGCTTAATATATCAATCAATGGTCAATTAATGCAACTGAAGTATAGACTATTTTTTTAAATACATATATTTTTTATTCAAAACGTAACATTAACTATAATTAGCAATCTAAATTCTCAAATTGAATTACCTTCAAACATAATTTCATAACACATGCAAATATATTAATTAAAATGGCAAATCCTTTCTGCATAATGACTACAGGAAGTTCAATACAACCGTACACAGAATATATAGCTGTTTGTTGTGGGAACACTTATCAGGAACACCTGTCATCTTTGTGGCATGTGAAATTAGAAAGCAATTCCACCAAGATCAGATGTGACAAATAACAAAACACAAGATGGTATCAATGATTTGTGTATGACATGCTTCTCCTTACTTGCCGCGTACGTGCAACAGACATGGTTGTAGAAAAAAAATGTAGTACCTTGTAAATATCTTGTGTGTCTGTCATTTAGATGGGTCCTACTGATAGTTAGTCAGATATAGTTTGATGTGATGTACCCTGGTGAACAGAGCTTCTACTCTACCACAAACCCTTCTTACACAGGGACTGTGACTCTACCAGCGGTCAAAATTGACCTAAAATCCTAAAACTGGTTACCCATAGGAAAAATCTTGAAAATAAAAAAATCACATGCATGTAGTATTTTATGATTTTAGCTCAGTTTTGAACAATTGCATAAAAAGGATTATAATTTTGTAAACATCTGATGAAAGATGAAATATGGTACACATGATGGAAACGCATGACATACAGTTAGTACTGTAATAATGAATTATTTTAAACACAGAGCTAGACCATAAGTAAAGGCCTATAGTAAAAATTCTATAACTTAATATTAGCTAAACTTGCACTAACAGACAATAAACAGACAAATGAGTTTAAAAGTATCATCAGCTCTGTAGTGACAAAATCAAATTATTCATTATAAAATTTGAGTAGTAAAGCAATGAAATGTCTGTTGGGATGTCTTGTAGCATTAAATTGTAAATCTACAGTGATTTTTTTCGTTGCTTATGTAACTTTGATGTGCTAAGCCGGTCTTTCTTCAGAAAGCTTTGTATTTTATTAATTTCACCACTTATCCCAGTATTAGGTTCATCTTCATCATCAGAAAACAGTACAACTGAAGGACTTGTAGTTACACCTCCCTGGAAAACAAGGAAAATTGTAGGTTAAGATGCAAATTACATATATTGTTATTCTAACCAAGTGTAATTCCCTTTTTTGACTCCCATGTGCGAAGCACAAAATGGGAGTCTTTGCAGTTAGTGTGTCTGTATGTGTGTATGTGTGTATGTGTGTATGTGTGTATGTGTGTATGTGTGTCCGACTGTTCCACTGCTATCTCAAGAACCATACATCGGTTTTTGATGAAACTTGGTGCATAGATGCTCTGGGCCAATGCGCAGATTTGATTAGGTTTTGGTAAAAATCCATGCTCGTTAATTACCTAATTTGCATGATAATTAGCTAATTTTTAGCTGTTCTATGACTGTTCCACTGATATCTAAAGAACCACTCATTGGATTTTGATGAAACTTGGTACATAGATGCTCTGAACATATGCGCAGATTTGATTAATTTTTGGTAAAAATCCGTGCATATTAATTACCTAATTTGCATGATAATTAGCTATTTTTTAGTGGTTCCATGACTGTTCCACTGATATCTAAACAACCACTCATTGGATTTTGATGAAACTTGGT